GATATTTCGAAGAACACTGTTGACATCGAGAATAACCTTTTGATACATGTCGTGCACTCATCCTTTGCAATAATGCAATTCGTGAATAGAACGCAATAAATTTGGTGAGCGAATGTTGAAAAAATTTGAATCCTATTCAAACTGAACATTAATTATTCAATATGAGAAGACTTAACGAGGAAAATTTATTCGAAAATGGCATAGGGCACAAAATAAGATTCTGAAAGAGGAAGTTGGGGTACATTTTTGAGTATGTCGTTGACGGTGGCTGGTTATCCGCTACGGAAACTGTTACGGTTAGATCGACTGATGATGTGTTTTTGTATTGTGGATTCATTTCTTAATTTCCTATTGGTGATCATCATTTTATACTGAGATATTCTGTTACCATCAGGATAATTCCTTGAATTCAATCTCAATTTATATTTTTTTCGTAAAATTACTTCAATGTATAGTTTAGCATTTCATCATTGTCTCTAATGACGTTGACACTTTTTCAAGACTTCATTTCATTCACTCAACATTCGATGATTCAATTAAACGTACAGCATTTGATTGCCATCGTTAGCGACATTCCATCTCGTCACCATACCCATCGCTATTAGACTGCCTACCGAGTGGTTTTCATGTGTGATGAGCAAAATAATGAAGTAACCGCTAATCAGCAGAGATTAATAATAGGCTAGTACCATATGATTAACGTTATTGTTCGTTTTGCATCGAGCAGAAAAGAAATCAAATTGAAAGACATTCGTTCGATTTTAATTTTGGATTTTGCTTTTGGTATGTGCGAACGAAAGACGTTTACACACACATCGTAGGTGAGTGATGATGAGATGATGATGGCTTTTATATTCTCATATTCGTTTATATTCGTTTCGTTTATCGATTCTCTGTGTGTATGTTAGATATTTGTTAGATTGTATCTAATAAAACAGGCGGATAGCTTTATCAACCGTATCCTTCTGCTTTTTTTTGAAATATTTGTTTTTTTATCAAATAGCGCAGTTCCTTTTCGTATAGACAGTGGGAGGTATGTGTCCTTAGACGTATTTACACACACGCAGGTATTCAATGAAACATCACAGCTGATGAGTTTATGCTAACAATGAAAGCGATGCAAAATATGTTATTTGAGATTTGCTTTCGTTTGAAAAATTCAATTGTTCAGCTTAATTTCAACGTTGTTCAGTGAAAAAAATTTACTATTCAACCAAAATTACTATTTGAAATTTACTATTCAAAAAAATTTTACTATTAAAAAATTTACTATTCAGTCATTCCGCATCCTTCTATTAATTCTCAATCAGAATAAATATTTGTTTCTTTTGTTTTCTTGATTCTTGTGTCAGCAAGTTTTCAAATTCGTATTTGAACGCTACACAACAAAATTATCCACTATATTTTCCCTGTTCTTAAACTGTTCTCTGTTTTATTGCGATACGAAATTTGCCAAGAAGTTTCATTTTTATGTGCACTCGTTTCGTGGATAATATATTTAAGAGATCACTTAATGTGTGTGTATGTGTGTAGCTTATTTATCGTCCTTCTTAAATACCAGCAATATAGGGATATATTTGGCTATTCAGCTCTCTTGAGAATAAACTGAAGCGAGCATTTTGTTGTTGTTATTTGCCTTCACTTGTCAACTGTTCCTTCTTCGCGTCTTCTTCCATCTGCACACTAAGTTTAGTGCTTTTGTCAAACAACTTAGTAACTTTCAGTTGAAGTTATAAGTCAGTTTGTATCGGAAAAAAATAAGGTGGAATTTTCAGGAGCTTAGTTCATCGAGGAATGGATCGAATACGTCGATCGTTTCGTGAGTCGTTTCGACGACGATCCTCTCGAGATCACAACAATCTCCGTAATTCACAATCACCTGGTGCGCAACCGTCCTCAGCGACCAATAATGCCTCCTCACAGCCAGGCGCATCCTCCTCCAACAATGCATCCTCGAATTCACGTCCCCAAACCGGCGCAATCAGTAGCACTTCAAGTGGTAAAGCTGACCTATGGCAACCCGACGAGACGGCTGTTCGTGAGGGCACATGCAGTTTCAATGTGAAGGTATCTTATCAGTTCGGATTATCATTATCAGTTTATATTATCATTATAAGTCCATCTTATCGTCAAATTTCTTCCCACCTCATTGNATCGATAAAAGTAATGCTAAAAAATAAACGTCTAGTGCACGTAGCAACTATGCAGTCAATGTGTTTAAAAAACCTGATTAATTCAATTTATAAATAGCATCAATTTATATTTATAAATAAATTCAGTATATTCATAAATTCAATTTATAAATATAAATAGCATCAATATCCAATATACAATTAGTGAAATAATCCACAATCATTATTAGATATCCAATTAATATGCAGTTAAATTAGTGTCTAATTGAATCAATTAATTCAGTTTAAAATATGCATCATTGAAGCATTCATGAATGTTAAATGAATAGAATTAAATGGAATTTAAAAACACACATCTTCGGGCATTCAGTTTCATTGATACTTTAATTGTCGTTGAAATCAACATGCAATGTTTTAGTATCTCGGTGGTGTTGAGGTGTTCGAGTCACGTGGTATGCAAGTGTGTGAGGGTGCTTTAAAACTATTACGGGTATTCAATTTCAAGTTCAATTCAATTTTCGATTTCTTTTCCTTGTTTATTCAGTAAGGATAGTTATTGAGTGAAGAAGCCATGTCTTGTTCCGAATCTTCTGAGTGC